ATCCAGCACTGTTTAACTGTCCTGGTTTAAAGAAGAGCGCCTCATCCCCAAGACATTTATCAGCTTTCTAAAGTATGTCTGTTACATTCATGGTGGCATGACCTGCTGTCTAATCTTAAGGGCTCTTCCCAGGATTTGCTGTCTTCTCTCTGTGGCTGCTGTGATATTTTCACCCTACTTAAGCTCCAGATGCTGAGAGGCTCCTTGCGCTGGCTCTACTGCAAGTGCACAAAAGAGGTTAATGCACCCAGGGAGGGAGACGCAACCAGCTGTTGGCCTTCTAATGCTTAAAACCTTCTTCCATTTCTGCTCCCCTCTGTCTATCCTTATCTTTCTCCCTTCCTCCACCCCTTAGAGGATACTAGCCAAGGCAATCAAGAGCGCTCGAGTGGTGAAACATCTGCTGGGAGCGTTTCAGTACAGCTGAGAGCGTCTTAACTCCTCCTGAGCAACAATATAAAGCCATCCTCTGGTCAGGAGCAGCAGGGACTTAGAAAGAGATCAGAGGAGATAATAGTTGGATGAAGGACTTGAGGGCTGCAAATGCACAATTAGTAGGTCCACACAGAGATGGGGGCAGCAAAAGAGGAGGGGTGGAGGACGTATGCGAATATAAGGCATAGTTTTGTAAACAATGGATTTGCATTAGCAATATAATCTGTTACATGCTTTATTTTGATAAAGATGTAGGTTTTAGTGGGGGAGGAGTGCATGTATGTTATCTGTAGATACATGTTCAAGACTACAGACATGTAACATGTGGTGTAAAGGAGTGCTTGGACATGCTGTCAGAACAAAGCAAGGAATAAACAATGAGCTCATGCCAGCCTGTTTCAGATCTAAATACCTCCAAACCTGTCAATGTAGGGTGGAGGTTGGTTGAGGACCCAAATATAGAGATGAGGAGGCAGAGATGAGTTTTTGCTGATTTAATGGCAAACAGAAACAAAACCCGAGAACAGAATGCAGAAAACCAAAAACCAGGAGACACACATGAGGAGCCAAGTAACAAGAAACCCGCAAACAGTAACTGAAGAGGAGGAGTATATCTATATAGGGGACAGAAGGAAGAATAGACTAATCAGCTGATATGGAGTAGGTGTGGATAGAAGTACCTAGAAGGGAACTAGGGTAAACAAGACTGGCACAATGAGGCAACAGAGAGGAACAAAAAATGCAACACAGCTTAAATATAACATAAAATGGAAAATAAACCAATGACCAACAAAACAAAATGACATACATTACTGAAAACTCAAAAAGAAATAACATGATGTTCAAAAGGGGAGAACCATAACAAAACCATCCATCCATTTTCTTCCGCTTATCCGGGGCCAGGTTGCGGAGGCAGCAATGTAAGCAAAGATGCCCAGACTTCACGATCCACACACACATTTCTTCCGGGGCACACCAGGCCAGCTCAGAGACATAGTTCCTCCAGCATGTCCTGGGCATTCCAGGAGGCCTCCTCCTCCTCCATATCTGGAACACCTCCCGAGGGAGGCAACCTCTTCACTAGGACAGTCCTTTACAGCGAACGCTCCGTCCGTCCCTCACTCATGAACGAGACCCCGAGATACTTGAACTCCTCCAATTGAGACAAGGACTCTCCACCGACCTGAAGAGAGGAGTCCACCTTTCTCCAGTGAAGAACCATTGCTCCGGATTTGGAGGTGCTGATCCTCACACTTGGCTGCATAGCACTCCAGTGCACGTCGGAGGTACTAATTTGATGAGGCAATAACATAACCATTTATCATTAATAAAAAGGACTGCTTTAAATGTTTACAGAAATAGCATTATCAATGACTCTGGCCTGTCGCACTGACTCAGATGTCATCATGTGGTTTGAAGGGTTTGTTAAAGAACACATCGTCTCCATTCTCCCCTCAACATACGACCCATTCCAATTCGCCTACGGACGAACCCGCTCAACTGAGGATGCCATCTCCTCTGCTCTTCACCTGAGCCTAGCACTCCTGGTGGTGAAGATCACCCTCATGTGGATGCTGTTCCTGAACCTCAGTTCAGCTTTCAACACCATCATCCCACAGCATCTGATAGGAAAACTAAAACAGCTGTGCTTCAATACACCACTATGCAATTGGCTGTTAGACGTCCTCACAAACAAACCTCAGTCAGTCTGAGTCGGATAGATGACCTCTGATGTCATCACCCTGAGCACAGGCTCCCCTCAGGGCTGCGTCCTGAGCCCCCTGCTGTTCACCTTGATGGCTCATGACTACGTCCCCAGGTTTACCACCAATCCCATCGTGAAGTTTGCAGATGACACCTCAATGGGCCTCATCAGAGTCGATAACTACCAGGACTACAGAGAGGAGGTGGAGCAGATGGTGGGCTGGTGCAGAGAAAACATTCTGATCCTGAATGTGGAGAAAACGGAGATCATTGTTGACTTCAGGAAAATATGGCTTAATTACACTCCAGAGAGGTGGTCAGTAGCACCAAATTCCTGGGGGATGCACATCACAGACATCACCTGGAATCACTGGACAAAAGGGCCCAAAAGCACATGTACTTCCTGCAGAGGATGAGGAGAAGCCATCTGCCCCCACCTATCCTCACCACCTTCTCCAGAAACAACATAGAGAGGTTCTGACCAGCTGTCTAATTGTGTGGTGTGGAGGCTGCAGACTGGAAGAAGGTGAGAAGAATGAAAGACATTTCATCTTAGAGCTGCGTGTCCAGAGTCCGTAACATTATAAATGACCCCTCATACCCCTACCGTGGACGGGTTTCATTGCTGCTGTCTGGAAAGAGTCTTCACAGCATTCGATGCAGATCCAGCAGATTCCAAAACAGCTTCTACCCCACTGACATCAGACAGCTGAATGTTGAGAAAACTCTATATTATGTCACAGACTCTACATCACACTGATAACAACAAACCAAAACACTGCATAATTGCAACATATATATTTAATGCTCTGAACTTCCATATCAGTGTGTCTTTTTTTGTACCATGTTTTTTCTCCCACACTGTTTACATTTGATCACTGCTGCACTTTAATAAATGGAAATGTCACGAAAGGTGTTCAAAATGAAATTTGCTTTGGATGCACACATATTAAATGTCAAAACGTTATCTGTTTTCCCCAGTTTAACCACATTTGTCTTAACTTGCTCTTAACTTCCATATCAATGCATTTTTGTACCATGTTTTTTCTCCTACACATGTTTACATTTGATCACTGTTGCATTTTTTGGAATGGAGATGTTCATTTTACTGCTGAGCTGCTGCTCATTCACTGTTCAATGCAAAATTTGTTTTATATACAATCCGTGTATACAAACTGACAATAAAAGATGTCTAAGTCTAAGAAACATTAGCTTATTTGTCCTCTTTCAGGTTTATCTACTTTAATCCTCTGGCTGTTATAGCTGGCATTAAATTAAGCTTCATTGACCCTTTATGGTGTAATTGTTGCATGTTTGAAATCATGTTGAAAGTAAGAAAATCAAGGTTGCCTGAGTTGTGTTTTTCACTGGCTGGTCAGAAATCTGTACGTACTGACTGGGTCATTCTGCCTCTTTGTCAGACCGTACCCTAATTTAGTACAATTTACTTTCCACATATTAGTTTTTTGTCCCACCAACCTACTTTTATTTCTCAGTTGAAAACAAATTATCGTGTACTAAGGTAGCTTGTTAGGTAAGCATTTTGAAATATACATCACAATTATGGCATGTGTAACAGTTATGTGTAATAATGGCATAAAGAAGAAGGGGGGGGGGGGTATGGTATTGAAAGGACTTAATGGTATTTAATTGATTGCATAAAAGCCTTTGTTGTTAAACGGTTTCAAGACTCCTGCATGGAGAAACTGGAAGCATGCATTGCTCAGCTTTGATTTTGGACCATTCTTCTTTTTACGCTGTGATTGTTCTTTCCATAACTTTTTAATTTTTAAGTCATGACTGGCTGGACCATTCTTGCAGCTTTATGTTCTTTCTCTAAGCCAGTTCTGAGTTTCATTAACAGTGTTCATTGTCTGGCCTTGATGTCTACCAATCCACTCAATTATATGAAGTCTGCCAGTACTACCAGTACCAGTACCACCATCTGTAGAATACCACACCATTGTGTTCTCACCTCCGAACCTTACTGTCAGTATGTTTTTTGGGCTGATCATTTCATCCTCCTAACATGGTGTGTGTTTTGGCTGCAAAGTGTTTTTCTCTCCTGTGTAAAGACTTAATCCTTACAGAAATGTACATGTTTGCCAAAATGTAAACAAATATCAACATGCTTTTTCTTTGGAAATGGAATCTTGCATGGTGAGCATGCATACAGGCCATGGGTGCAGTGCTTATTGCTCTCTATAAAACAGCTACACCTACTAATTCCAGCCTTGTTCTTCTTCAACTATTCTGTTACTATGTCCTCGGTCAGAAATCTTGTAAGGGGCACGTGGCCATGGTCATTATTTCCAGTAACCGGAACATTCAGAAGTTTAGAAGTTATTAGAAATGTACAAAATCTTGCAAAACATTATGTTATGTTATTTATTTTCTCAAATTATTTATTTTGATTTCTTTCTATTTGTGGAAACTTAGGTTGTCATGGGGAATATTTCATGTCAATAACACCTTTGGAAATACAGATAATATGAAAAATGGTGATGTGTTCAATACATATTTAGATTACGACACAACAGTGGAGTTGCAAGCAGGAGTTTGCCCTGCAATCGGAGGGTTGTCAGTTCAAACTCTGGCTTTCAGTGTCGTGTTCTTGGGCAAAAAAGTTCGCCTCCATATCCTACTGATGGTGGTCAGATGGCCCGGTGGCGCCACTGTACGGCAGCCTCACTTCTGTCAGTGAGCCCCAGGGCAGCTGTGGCTACATTGTAGTTTGCCACCATCAGCGTGTGAGTGTGTGCATGAATGACTGAATGTAGTGTAAAGCACTTTCGTCAAGTCTTCTGACTTGGAAAATCGCTATATAAGTATAGGACATTTACCATTTATTTTTGGCTTACCTTAATTGCATCTTTTGAAAAGTTGCAGAAATTGATTTTTCATTACACCGAAGTGCTTTGAACAAACCTAAAGTGGCAGAAAGAGTTGCATCACTTTATTACTTTATAGAAGACAAGGAGAAACTGAATCTGAATTGAAAACTTCGTACAAAAAAACATGTTGAGTCTTTGTTTAAAATATTGTAATTTTGAAATCTTAATAAATGCAAAAGAAGAGTAACAGGATAAACAAAAAATTTAGATGTAGCTCACTGGTGAGTTGTTCTATTTTAAGAAGAGGCTTGTGGGTGCCTCATAGGGTTATTGAGTTCACCCTGATCCCTGCAGGCACCACATTGGTAAACCTTGGACTAGATCTCTATATTAGTACTAGTCAGGTCTTCATTTATTACAAATTAAATCTTTAGTGATGTAGTGAAAAAAAGAAAGGACAATAAGATGTATTTCCTCAGAATTTTCCTTTACAAAGTGAATAAACTAAAATAAGGCAGTCTTAACAACATCAGCCAGCACTGATTTCCTGATGAAAAAACAGAAACAGTATTGAATTTAGAATAATTCATCTAAATATAATATATATAATAAAATATATAATGAAAATATATAATAAAAAACACAACAGTAACAGGAAAGTGTACCTGAAAAACAGCCATTAATAATTTTCTCTTTTATGCATTTTTCGGTGATGTTAAAGCCTTAAAATGCTTTCTCTATAACTAAAGCGTTCATATGTTTTACACAGCAAAAACGATCTAGAAATGCATAGAAATTCTTAAATGTATTAACCCTTTAGTTCAGTACGTAAATAATATGATTAGCCAATGGAATTAGTTTTTAACTCTTAAAATCAGTAACTTAGATTATATGCACTTGAAATAAGACAATGCAATTGTTTTTTTTCTTATATTAAATGCAAATTGTCTTGTTCCATTGACTAAGTGTCTCACTTACTTCCTCAGTTCATGAAAAAATGCACTGTTTTATAGAAAAAAGACTTTTGCAGTGTATGCCTGTGATGGCGCAGTGCTACCCACTGCACCGCCACCGGCATGCACTGCAAAACATTTATTCCCAAGCCAGGTTCTTTCTGCATGGAGTTTGCATGTTCTCCCTGTGCATGAGTGGGTTCTCTCCGGGTACTCCGGCTTCCTCCCACAGTCCAAAAAAACTGACTGTTAGGTTAATTGGCTTCTCTAAATTCTCCTTAGGTGTGAGTATGTGTGTGAATGGTTGTTTGTCCTGTTTGTTTCTATGCTGCCCTGCAATGGACTGGCGACCTGTCCAGAGTGGACCCGTCTCGCCCGTAGACAGCTGGAGATAGGCACCAGGACCCCTCACAGCTATGCTTGGGATAAGCGTGACGAAAAATGGATGGATGGATGCCTGTGGTTTGATTCACTTGAAACTCTAACACCTTTTTTCTCAGAGATGTCATATTCACTTTGAGACTCTGAAATTAACTGAGACATCAAAACTTGGACTTGATCTAAGACTCAAGTCTTAGCAAGAGTCTCTCTATTTTTTGAGGAGTCAGTATAAGAGCTACAGACTGCAGCTGCTGCACAGGTTTCATTATGAAAAGATACGCTTGATTGTTAACCAGTGATGCTTGTGGATTATGGGCTGTTAAAGGGCGCATAACAATCTGTTTACGTTAGCTATAGCTTCATAATAATGAACACATGAATGTCTCTTCAAATTAGTGCTGTATTGAATGACTTTGGATCATTTAAGAAAAAAAATACTATGCAGCTTTTATCACTTTTTGGGGATGGTGAAATAAATGTTAAAAGATTAAAGAATAACTGCTAGTGAACATTAAAAGATTTGGAAAAGATTTTTAAATGGTTGCCTGGGAGTTTAGGCCTAAGGACAAAATGGACAGGGTGAAATTCTTAACCTTCAGAAATGCGAGGTGAGAGGGGCACTAGATGCGCCTTTAATGAGAACGTAACAAGTTTATTCTGAATTGAGTGTGACTTGTGACCATTGACTTGAAATTGGGAAAACATTAGTCACTGAAATCAGGGGTAATTTTCAGGAAACGTTCATTAACATTTCTGCACCTGGTGTTTGTTAACCTCTCATAAGCAACGTAATTTAATATGACTGTGAATAAAAAAAAAAAGTCAAAATCAATATTTTATTTTTTATAAATTATAAATTATATCATTTAATACATTTTAATGTATTATTACTTTTTCAGTTTTGTGTTAATTAAATTAATAGAGTTAATATACCTAAAGTAGGAGGGTATGTAAACTTTCAAGCACAACTGTATACCATCCAGCAGATTTAAGTAGTCTTTCAAAACAATGATCAAGCCATCCTGTTTTCACATGGCTTTTTTCATACTTTCACAATAATGCACAATATAAAATAACACATAACTATATAAAAGACCGAAGAAACAGGCTTAAATGCAAACAATTTGGCTAATTGTGTGTAACTGACAATAAAAACTACTGTTTCCATTTGATTTTCTGCACTGTTTTGTTTAAATGTAGTGTTAAACGGAAGCAGAAGTCATGAAAGCAAAAATCTGCAAACAGTGCACTCACCAGGCTTCAAGATGCCGCCTGTTGCATGTCCTCCTCACATGCTCTTGTCATGTAAACTGCGAGAGAGAAGGAGCAACAGCTGGGATTACAGCACTGTTTTCGAGAGGACCAGGATGTGTTGGTTAATGCGTGCTGTGGGCCGGCCTCTTCTTTAATGATAAGGTTATCTCTGCAGTGTGCCTCCAACGTGAGGTGGGACATTCTATGCATTTAGAGCAACTCTGATTTAATGAATGTGTTTCACATATTTCATATTGTGGTAAACAATGTGGGGTGCACATGAAAGTGATTGATAAAAGCAGTCTCAAATGTTTTTTAGCGGCACGTATTGTCTGAATGGTGGATTGATAAAAAAGTGTCCAGTGAACTCCATTCAAAGGGGGATAAGTCATGAGTTTGGGCATGCAGAACTGTGTGTGCAAAGATGGCAAACTTCCACACATTTAAAGCAGCCTGCTGAGGGCGTCCTTCTTAGCGACAGGTGCAGGCCCAAGAGACAATAGAGCTCCTCCAGAGCTGTCGGCCAGCAAAACACAGAGACAAAAAAAACCAGAAGAGACTGCAGTAATTGTGCTCAAGAGAAGCAAAGAAGAGCTTTTCTAGATCTTTTCTTTCTTTCTAGTTTTGCCTGAATTCAAAGGTGAGAATAAGAGGCTTAACAAAGTGAGAGAAGAGTTTAAGATACTTTTGAGAGGAGAAATGGAGTAGGTGCTGCAAAGAAAAGGAGAGGTAAATATAAAGGGAGCATGAAAGACGTGCAGCTACACCCTCCTCACGCTTCTTTCAGCTCAAAAGATGACTAAAAAGGCTGTTGAAAGTTTTCAGCAGGTCTTTGATTCGACCAGTCTGCAATGTGACTCCCGACAGGCACAAGAAGTAGACATCAGAGGATTTTTTTTGTTTTTTTTTCCCCACTGGCCACACAATACAAACCCCTACTGCCAAATTGGATTCGATTCAACATGTTTGTTGGTTTCAATTGGTGTATTTTTAGCAAGAGTGTAATGTACTGTATGTTTCCTGGGTGAGAGCATACACAAATAAAACACTGCTTTGGCCCATGCTTCACTCCTGAATGACATTCACAGATATAAACAGACACTTTATTATTCGTAGAAAGCATTGCACATGTGGTTGTATGCCTACTGTGTGTACTAAAGTTATTGCCAAATTGGATTTGCACACATCTTAAAGAAGTTTAATGACATCTCTCAAAATGCAGCTTATGCAACTTTCTGCAAAACAAGGATTTTAGTCATATCTAAAGATAAAATCTTTGTTTAAAGCTGTCTAAAAGAACCTTAAAACCCACATGAAATGGTTACAGTACATGACAAGTTTAAGGGAATTTTCTTTGGCTGCTTACATTTTTTAAGATTTTAATGACATTAACATTAATTTATAATATACAATCAAAGACAAAAAATAATCTCCAGTATATAAATTGTGTTTATTTTAAGCCAGTTTGGTTAAGACAAGAAGGAAGTCACACAATGATTTTCAAAATAAAGCTTACTTTTAATTTATAGGGTTCAGACTGTTTCAAAACAATAATCTAGATAATTATGACGAGATAAAGGTTGTAAAATCAGCTGACTTATTGTCTGATTCTCAAAAACACAACGCTATCTTTAGAGCAAAGATGTGTGACAGATTTGGTCTTGATCCTTCCATTTGTATGTGCAGCTGCTCATCACACCCACTCAGTCATTGTCAGACTCACTTTTGAGTATTTAGAGGAACATAAGGGCTTATTTCTCCTGAAAAAGCATGCAGCAACATCAGGGAGACATGTATTATTAACTAACCCCATTGGTAGGGGTAGTATGACATTTGTCTCTTTCCATGTAAACATTTTAAAGAGTGAAAAAAACCTAGATCATTAGGAAGAAAAATGATTTGGCTCCATTTAAGAAATTATGGAATCAAGCTTTAAAAAGCTATGAAAAAAAACAGGTAGTTATATAAAGCTATACATATATATATATATATATATATATATATATATATATATATATATATATATATATATATATATATATATATATATATATATATATATATATATATATATATATATATATATATATATATATATAAATATATATATATATATATATATATATATATATATATATTTGTTGTTTTTTTTTCAAATTAGTATAAGGTATTGTACTAATTTCACCTGAGGTCCATTTCACGAAGCAGGTTTGACAAATTCAGATCCAAATCTGCTACTTTAAATTGATCTAGCCTAAAGTTGAGAACTCTATATGTTCGGTTTCACAACGACTGTTATCAATTAATTCAATCAATTTTAACTAGGTCCACTGAGAGCTAAGCGCATGCACAACAAGTATTAAAAGCCATTATCAGTAGAGCACTAATTAGACGAGTCACCATGACAACAAGCAACAGGAAGTGCCTATTTGGCCCTAATGGGACTAAAGATTTTAATGCAGAAATGCAAAAACAATAAAATAAAAAAGGTTAAAATGTGTTTAAAAGACAGAGAAACAGCGCTACAACTACAAAGGAGAGGAAGGTGGCAAAGGAGAAGGTTGCTGCTCGAGTTAATGTGTAAGTTTATGTGAAGTGGGTTATGGCAAGACATTTTCACATTTATTAAAAGCCCTCCTCCCTGTTGTTTCATTTGTAGATAACCAAAATAAGATTCCTCCTGATCAAAATCACACTCCTAGACCTAACTGTAATAATATGTTTTCTAAATTGCAATTTTGTTCAGAAACTGAATGTTAGAAATAAAAATAAAAAACAACATTATACTATTAATAATTAAGTTTTATATATCTATAAATATTACACATTATTTGGCCATTCTGACATTTATCAGCTCGACTGAAAATGTGTTTACGATATCTGAAAAATACTTTTTCACTGTTAAAATAATACAAATACTGACCAGTGACATTAGGAATATGGAGATCCTAAATTAATTTATAGACATCAAGAATGTTTACTCTAGATGTCATTTTGTTTGAAATTATTATTTTTTTTTCCAAATATCACGAATAAATATTGAGTAAAACTAGTAAATATAAAAATGGCTTGCCATAGTTTGTTACCATGAAAATATAACGGGATTATTTCTTGAATAGTACCGTAGTAGATCAATGTATCTATTAAGTTGAAATCTTCTGGCAGCAGGTGAAAATGAAATCTAAAAACACTTTTCTAATATTTAGAACCTGTGGATCATCTCATGCGTCCCTGCTCATGTTGATTCAGTCTTCTTTTGCTCAGTAAAGTGGCTGTTTGCAGCCGTACTTCGGATATAATCATCCCAATAAATGGCCGTTATAAGCAGCTATCAGTCCCATAGAATGGCTTAGATTCTGCCAGTAGGCTCATCAGGCTGTTATCATCGAATGGATCCTAATCCTAACCCTAAAGTAATTCCTTTTCCCCTGTGGAACAGTTCTTCATGTACTGTTAATATCGTCAAACGGATATGCAATGCTTGTTTTTAAAACCTAATGTGTCTAACGGACCCTTCGAGTTTACTGAAGCATACCTGTCGCTGACCAGGTTAGCTCTGAGGAGAATGTTACTACGATGACTGAAACAGAGGTTGACTAAACTCTCTTTGTGAATCGGAAAACTCAGTTTCCCTGTTTTCAGGTTTAGACAACTTAGAGTTTTTGGTAAACCTGCTTTGTGAAACTGACACCAGGATCAGTGGGTTTCCAGAAGACAGCTCAACAACAACAAGGTCAGTTAAACCAACAATTAATTTACAGATCATTTAAACTTACATTGACTGAGACAACTTGTATTCACAGTTGTGAGTTGACTCTTAAGAAGATTCATAAATACAAATTCTGATTTGAAAGATTACAATAATTAAAAGATAAAATGTTTTAATGTTTATAAGATATTGCTAAGAGTGAAACTCAGGAACTACCTAAAGAGGAGAAAATCAAATATCAATATTGCTCTTTTTACCTTAAAACTGTATTGTGAAGAGTGGATAAAATGTCTATAGAAAACAGGGTTAACCTTTTGGATGGAATTGTTCAGTAGGATAGTAATGTGTTTACAGGGCTGCCAACTTTTCACCAAACCTTGGGGTGAAATTTTTATATAGTTTGGACAGGAAACCCTGTCAGGGTTGGATGAGAATAGGTGTAGCTATAGGTTGGAGGTTTTCAGAGAATTTAACTGAAACAAATTGGAAAATGTGGATTTTTTATAGAACAGTAAATGTTACTGAATAAAAATAAGTGATCTGTAGTTATGTGGAAATTTTTTCTCACAATATACATTATTTTCTACATTCTGGTGATTTTTAGAGAACTGAAGTAAAGCAGAATGAGCCCTACTAAATTACTTGCATCTTAAATATACTGTAAACTAAGAATTTCACAACTTTGTTTATTAATTATTTTCTGCAGTTCAAGTAAAGTGCAATCAAATCCAATGCAAACTACACTGTGTATGAATATTTGGTAATAGGCTAAGGATTAAAAAGATTCATTCATTATTTTATTAGTTTTTCCTACAATTGACAAAACAGCTAAACAATTCAGACCTTCTATGAGGCTGTAGATTTTATAAAAACTCACTATGACACAAGATGGCAATTCTCTGGATGTTTCATTTGTAAAATGTGATGGAAATTAAGTTAACATATTCAATGGACCAAAATAAGGATAAATTAATAAGACAAGAATAAAATGAGAACATCTCTGTGGTTCCCCCTCTATGAATCCTGGATAACTGAGTTGTTCTGCACATCCTATCCATATGTGGTTGGACTTTTCTGTGGTGGCTGATCTTTTGAAAAATAAAATGCAATGGTTCTTCTTGTGGAGCTACTAAGGGTTTGTGAGGCAAACCTGAAATCTTTAAGAATTAAAATATAAGTGTTGGTTTAATTACTCCTAAATTCAGACGGGAGATCATTAAACTAGACTGAGCAATAATTTTTTTAACTTGTGAGCAAAACACGGAGTAAAACTGAAGAGAAAAAGAGAAAATAAACCATTGGATGTGATCCTGCACTCAGTCTCCACATCAATACTTTAAGCAAGCTGCTGTAT